GTGATGAGCCCATGGTGAACCCCATGGTGAACCCCATGACAACTTCTCTTACCTTATTACATAGGGGACATATGTGAAGGGACATGTTTTCCCCCCAGCCTACACACATCACATGAGCAAGCATGCGGGATTTCTAAGTAAAGTGATTTTAAGCAAAGAGATTTGCAGAAATTACACATTTGCTGTAGATGTGGGAGGGATGCAGCAGCCGACGGCAGGCTGAGGTTGAGGAGAGGGGCCATAGCCTATTAGTTTCATTTCTTCAGAGAATGGAAACTATTTTCAGGAATATACTAAGATTTCAACCCCATTTGGGCATTTTCACCACAGATTCCTTAAATCTCTATTAGGAGGATTTTGACTGAGCTTGTCCTTGATGGAATCATCAGCATCGTGTACTCACTGCTTTCTGGACAGTGGGCCAGGTGAATTACAGACATTACTTTTTAGCCTTCTGGTAACCTCTTAAAGTGGCACTTTTCTCTATCCCATGTTCCAGATGAACACTCTGAGGGCCAAGATGTGAAGTGACTGTTAAGTGTATGCCATACATATGGGAGGTGGCAGAGGTATGATTTGTGTCTGCAATGCCTTCTATAGACTACGTAATCCTGCTGAGAGTGAAATGAAAAATGGCACAGGGTGGGACCAGCAGTTAGCGTAATGGCTATGTTGCTGGACTCCCATGCAGTCGACCGCTTTTAGAGTCCTGGCCCCGGTGGCTTAAGCTCACACCCAGCGCACGTGTGTGCGTGCCCAAGATCCCGAGAGGAGAATAGAGGGGAAGGGATTGTGGCATGGCCATCTCCCCTGGGGGGTGATTTCTCACTTTCTGTCTCTCTGTCTTTCTGGTGAGCGCATGCATCCTGTAGCAAAAACCCCTCAAAAAAAAAAAAAAAAAAAGACACGGTGATGATTGTGAGACTGAGTTTCTTCCCTGCACATCAAGCAGGAACTTTGCCCCTTAAAAATTTTTTTTCTCCTTGATTTTCTCAGTGTAAGGGCTGAGATACAGAGAAGGATTTTTTCTTTTTGTTTTAAATTTGCTAGAGGGTACATATGCTTGCTGGATAGAAACAGAGAAGGGGGAAAGTAAGAAAGCGGACCCCATAGAGGATGTTCTGCAATCTCTTTTCCTCTCTTCTCCCTCCTTTCAGCTTTTGGGCATGCACTTAGGCATGCTTTTTGGTCTGCCCAGGCTAGGATTTAAACTGCGCAGTTGACCATGTGGAATCCAGCTCTGTAACCACCATGCTATTGGCTGGCCCAACTGTTCATGGTTTTTAAGAAATGACACCACCCATGACACTCTGCAAACTCATAGGCAAAGATGATTTTAATGATAGTTCTGACCAGTAACGACATCTCCAACAAGCTTATAAAGCACAAGTTAAACTTGCACTCTTTATTCAGGAACTTGAGATTATATTGAATCTCACTCATAAGCAATATCCCTACCAACACAGTGATTTCATTTTACTGCCATCGAAATGGAAATAGACACTATTTCTTTTTTTTTTTTTTTTGAGAGTTTTTTTTTTTGCTATAGGGCCCATGCACTCGCCAGAAAGACAGAGACAGAGAGACAGAAAGGGAGAAATCCCCCCCCCCCCCCCCAAGGAGGGATGACCAAGCTGCAGTCTCTTCTCCATTCTCCTCTCGGGATCTTGGGCACACACGCACACACACCTAGCATGAGTTTATGCCACTGGGTCTGGGACTTGAACCGCGGTCGACTGCATGGGAGTTTAGTGACATAGCCATTATGCCAACTGCTGGTCCCGAGACTATTACTTTCTTACAGAGTCAAAGAGAATGTGCCAAATTCAAAATTGTAACTTCATGACATGATATGGGAATAAAATTAATTTATATTTTTGAATTTGGGACTTATTTTGTACTGAAATGTATACTTTTCAACTTTAATGCCTGTATGTAAACTTTAAATAATTCTACTCAATATCTGTACAACATGTTTGATACATTATATATTTGCATTTTTATACATATACTAGACTGTAAACTTCTCAGGTAGGGACTATTTCTAATCTGCTTTTTATTCTGAGTTTTAGCCTAGTGTCTAGCTAAACTTCATCATTGCATTCCTGGAATTATTTCACTTGAAAGAACTTACTTCTTAATGTGTTTAAATATGTCAGTTAAATTAATTTCACTTGAAAAGGACTCTCCCTTAATTTTCTGGTATGCCTTAACAAATATTTATTCTGAATCCCCATGAATAGGAAGTAACTTCAGAAGTTGAAAAGAGAAATAGTTCTTATTTGTGGCATTTTATTTGGAAAGGGGGGCAACTTAATCAAGTTTCTGTTTTAGAATTTTTAGAAGTGAAAATTATTTTCTTTGACAGCTGCATAGATATACAGGCAAGTGGGATGTATAAAACAGGAACAGTCTTAGGCTTGTTGGCAAAGTAATTTCTTAAGCTGAGGCACAATGGAAAATGACTGAAGCCAGGATGAACTGTTCAAAAGAATTGACTTCCTTTTTTTTTTGGGTAGAGTTTTAAGAATATTGAAACTGGAGAAAAACTATATATGTGGTATTTACAGTTCTACAAATTTTTATTTAGTAATGTGGAACCCTCTTTTCATGTCAGGTTTGTTAATTTTTTGATCTTTGTGGAATTTTCTACTGGAGTTCTTTCCTTTACAAAATAGACCTTTGACTTTCTGTGATTTACTAATTACTTGCTCTGTAACACCTTGTGCTTTGAGTAACATTTTAAGATCCGATGAGTGAGTGAAA